ACTGATCTCAAAAAATAGATTTGACTATTTTTTAGTCTAAAATCCTTGAACTTTCCTTTAAAGCGCCTTGTTTGCCCTCTGCGCCACTGCTATAGCCTGGCCTTCATGTTAAAATACCTCGCAAGACTTCCTCTTCGGCCAGTACTGTTAACTGTTAAATATTGTTAATGATGTATTGTTATTATGGGTATTGTTATCAGATCTGTCTTATTGTAATAAAGTGCGTGTATTTATTGTTACTTATTTGTCATTGCTTATTGTCAGTTAATTACGATGACGAAATGCAACGTTAATACACCCGACAGCACCTGTTTTCCTAACCTAAAATATAGCCGCAATTGAGAAAACGATTGCTTCATCTGTAGGCTTAAAATGATAACTGGCACCAAGAACAAATCATGTCTAATCATGGAGTAGAAATGCTAAATAAATGTGTGTGTGTGTGTGTGTGTGTGTGTGTGTGAGAGAGAGAGAGAGAGAGAGAGAGAGAGAGAGAAATGGAGAATGAAAGAGAGAGAGAGGGAGAGAGGGAGAGTGTTAAAAGGATAGCTCGTCCTTGTTCCTGAAAACAGACATGCAATAAGAGACGACGACATGCGACACTTGTTGGAAAAAGGCCCCAATTACCAGCTTATTAACCAGATACATGTTGCTTAAAATGCACAGATTGCGGCGACAATCCATAGCTGTTAACAATTATGAAATACGAAGGGTTTCATGTGTCGCAATAAATACCTTCGAGTTAAAAGGCTTCGTCGAGTTATTAACTTTGTCGTAGGAGAGAGAGAAAGACAGGGAGATCAAGTAACTTATTTACGACATTTTCAAATCCAAATAGAAAGAAGAAGACGATTCTGTCGTCGTCGAAAATAATCAACATCCAACGCGCTTAGCTGTCGTGTTAAACGTCCTTCAAACTATTAAAATGCACAAGGTGACGCTTTTTTGAAAGAAAACAAGAAGCAGCTTCCCGACTTTCCCTATATCGACTATGGCATTTTTCTAACTCTTTGCCTTGGCATTTACCTCTCTCATATGGCACTAAGGAAAAAAAAATTACAGCAACTTCTTTGACTGACATTGGAACCCTTTCTCCTGTGCAGACATTTCTACGAATTTGTAACAAAATCAATATGTTTTTCATTTTGATAGATCTTGAAACAGCGCTCTGTGCTGGCTTTGCCTGTGACAAAGGAAAGACGAGCAAGAAACTAATTACGGGTTATATTTTTAGCATGGAAACTGGAAATTCGTGTCTAAGATTTAATAAAGTCGGGTTTTGCTGAGTGAGCATAAACATAACCACGCTATTATTATACAGGGGGATTAACATTTCACATTTTGCTTATGCAACTTTAAAAGCAACCATTGGGGAGTGTTGGAAATAAACGATCTTTTGCAAAAACGCTGAGTAATCGATGCAGGTCGCGCGCGCGCGCGAGAGAGACAGAGAGAGAGAGAGAGAGAGAGAGAGAGA